GAGGATTCCAGAGTAAGTAGAGGAAAATCGCTGCTTCTTTCGTTCTGCCCGACTTCACTTCCCTTCCACCCCAAAAAATATACGTGTACAACACGTATACGTGTATGTAGGTCGTCATATCTAGGGGAATGGGAAATGGGGGTGAGAGAGTGGGAGGAAAAAAAGCATCTTGTGCTCGTCTAGTCGTTTGTAGTAACATCGAGAATAGTACGATTGAAACGCAAACTTCGTCGAATTCGATTCAATGCAAGATTCTGAAGAGTAGTTGACTATGATCAAGAGAAAAATAAAAGAGAAATAGAAAGAGAGAGAGAGTTTGGGAAAGGGAAGAGGGGGCGTGGGTGGTTTAGGTAGGTATACGAGAAACGGCGCGCGATTGAAGAAAAGGTTGAAAAGGGAGGATTACATTTGGTATTCATGGAATACCATCGAGAACGCGTAAATCAAAAGTTCGGAAAAAGCTTGGCATCGAAGGAAAACTAGCTCGATGAGAATAACAGTAAGGTATGGGGAGTGGTGGTGGTGGTGGTGGGTGGTGGTGGTATTGGTTTCTTTTTTCATTTCTCGCCGTGGTTGTTTTTATTTATTATTTTGTATTTTATTTTATCGCTATTATATTTTGTATTTTTCCTTTTTTTTTTTTATTTTCTTCTTCTTCTTTTTCTTTTTCTTTTTCTTCAAAGGATACACGGGCCAACGTGTTTTTACAATTCAATCTATTTTTATTTATTTATTTCAATTTCTTTTATTTTTCCTCTTTTATTTTTTCGTCAAACGCAAGAAAGCACTTTGCGTGAGCTTTTTGTGATGAGAAAAGATAGAACGAACGAATACGCGGTTATATATTTCGACGTTTATATGCGTGGAAGAGAAAATGTTAAAGCGAGTAATGGAAGGATTGGATGAGAAATAAAATGGATTTGCTTTTCGAGCCGGTTTTGAACGTTAAAAAGGAAAATTAGAGGAATTAAATATGCGCGAAACAATAGTGTGAGTGGGTGATGGTTGTGTGGTGGTTGTGATGGTGGTGTGATACACGTAGAAGAATCGAGGCATCAATCATTTGCGGTTATAACGTTGCTATTTTTCTTAATTTAAATTTATCCTTTTTTTTTCTTTTTATCAACTACGATTACAACAACAAATGTGGAGAAGGATTAACGTTAACGCGTTATCCTTTTTCACATATTTTACTGAAATAATACTAATAAATCTCTGATATACGGTATTATGTATATTTATATGACGTGCAATTGTATAAATTGTGTATCTCTCTCTTTCTCTCTCTCTTCATTTTTTTTATCTATACATAGATCATTTTATTTACAAATCACACGATCATTATATAAAAATAATAATAAGAATAATTAATTAACGTGTATATTAATATAATATTACAAAAAGGAAATTGTTTATTTTATGAAAAAAATAATTATTCGAATACTTTGTTATATACTACTAGATTTATCAAATTTATTGTTGAAGAAAATTAATTTGAAAAATTGTTTACATACTAAAAAGAAACTTTAAAAGATATATATATATAAATCTATATAATACTTGAAAAATAATTTTCCGAAGCAATAATAGTTGTTACGAGTTTGCACACGATCAAAAGAAAAGAAATAAAGGAAGAAAAAGAAAAAAAAAAGGAAGAAAAAGAATGAATAGTTTCGTCTAACAAAGAAAAGGGGGTGGAAATTGCAAATGCCATTTGGCGAAAAGTTTCGATGCTTCTCGAGCAAACCACTCTTGTCTTAACTCGACATACTCTTGTCGAAGAGTGCTGACAAAGAAAAAAAGAAATAAAAAAAAAAAAAGAAAAGAAATAAAGAGAGAAAAAGAGAGAGAGAGAGATATATTAAAAGGAGATTGGCACGTGCATTATCTATCTACTATATGACTTTATATTTCTTAAGTTAAACAATTATACTTGTCACATTTTCTATCTCTTAATACAGGGTGAACAATAAATCTTTTTTAAAATTTAATACGAATTACGACAAATTTGTCATTTTTTCTTTTTGTATTATTATGAAAGATAAAAATGTTCGAAATAAGATCGTAATTATCATATTTTCTATTATTTTATCAATAAAATATATATGTTTTTGAAATTCTAAATGATAAACTTAATGTTTCTACCGTGTATAGTACGCATACTTTGGCATTATGAATATCAATCGAGAAAAAACAAATCAAATGAGATTTTTTTATCGAATATAAAATCATCGATGATAATCGATAGATCGTGATATATATATATATATATGTATAGTATAATATCATATTTTTTCTACTCTACTATAAATAATATTTCATTCATTAATATATCAAATAAAAAGTAAAATACATAGAACACATAAGTTTGATTTGAAATGTGACAGTACAATAGATTTGTACTGAGGAAAAGGAAGAAGGGTAAGGGGGGTGATACGAAGAAACGTCTCTCCTTCTAAAATTAGCGGTATCTGGCAAACGTGTAATTAGTTAAAACATAGAGCATCATGGTAATTAAGTTAATTTAACGTCTACTCGCAAGCTTGTTTCGAAGAAAAGCTTCCCTACTAGGTACTAGGTTAAGGCGTTAGGTAGCTTTTCCTAGAGAAGTATGGTGTTGCACTGGCAGACTTCCTCGTTTATCCGTTTTAACGTGACACCATCACCACCATCACCACCACCACCACCACGAAATTACGAGTCATAGATTTACAGTTAAAAGATTTGTTAGCACCAAATCAAAATCTTTAATACCGTGGGGTAGGGGGGAAGGGAGTTTAACGATGTGAGAGTGAGAGAGAAAAAAAAAGAAAAAAAAGAGAAAGAAATAGAATTAAAAAAGAAGGAGTAAGGGGGGAGAGGGGAGGAGCAAGAGGACGAGGAGGGTAGACCACCATCATAGTCATACTACTACTATTTTCTTCATTCGTTTTTTTCTTTTTTTTTTTTTTTCATAGAACCAACCCCAGAACGATGAAGGGAAACGAGCGTAGGGACGGGTTAACGAGACACGTTCGTTAAAAACGACGACGTCGAAAACGATGATCGTCGTAGAAGAACGTGAGCGTGACACAAAAATCCTCCCCGATGAAAATGTTCACAACCAACGTACCTCAATTCCTTTTTTTTTCTCCCCTCTTCCTAACCACCCCCGTCATTTTTGTTAGAAAAGATTTTCATGCTACTACTATTATTACTGTTCTCCTTTTTTCTTCGAAAATACGAAATTCTGAGGATTGTTTTCTTTTTTTCTTTTTTTTTTTTATAATTTTACTTTTATTTCGACTCGAATTCGATTTTTATTTTTATTATATATATAGGAAAAAGAAAAAAAAGAAATATATAACGATAGACATTGTATCTTTTTTTTCTGTTTTTTTTTTTTTTTATTTTTTTTTGTTAAGCAACTCTTTGTAATTCAAAGAACATGCTACATTGAAAAGAGTTAATCGATTATTACGCGTCATCTCCTACCGATCTTTGTGAAAATTATTCTCTTCGTTCGTAACGCTGATCACGTTAACATACATTTTTTTTTTCTCTTCCACTATTCGTTTCTCTCTTTCTCTTTCCTTCTTTTTTCTTTTCTTTTTTTTTTTAATACGTTTCATGTTCGAAAAAATCCTCGCTCCCTTCCCTCAAAAAAAAAAAAAAAAAAATAAACCTTACAAAATATAATTGCCATAAAGAATAAGAATTCATAAATTTATCATTGATAATCAAACGAACAAACTGAATTTCGATGAATAGCGGAAACTTGAAAAGATTCTCTACAGTATCGTATATTATATTTCATATATACACATCATACACATATACAAACACACACACTTATGTATTATACACAATAATTATTACATGGTCAAAAAGTAGAAAACTTTTTAGCCGAAACGATATTAAAATTCTTCACGATTTTATGCGACCGTCGATTAGTATACCGTGCAATTCTCTCTCTCTCACCCTTCTCCCTTTTATTTTATTTCTTTTCGTGGCCTATAAGCATCCCTTAATTACGTGACTTCCGTTCGAAGAATTTTCGACTGAGTGCCGATGCTTTTGGAGAACTGCAATAGCTAGGAGGATAAAAGAGAACGAGGAGGAGGAGGAGGAGGTGGAGCAAAAAAGGGTATGAGGGGGAGGGGGGTAGGACGCGGTAAAGGGTTTGGTTTGAAATAGTGCACTCGCGCGCGCGTACTTTTGAAATTAGAAAAGTTACTACGAGCAATCCGCACGAACCGCAACGTTCTAAAAGCCGAAAATTCTTCCCTCGACATTGGCATAATGCGATTTCACGCGATACTACTTATACGTTATTCTTATATATACATATATATCCGCATATCATTATAATAATAATATATATATAGTATTTTCTTTTTTGCGAAGAAATTTATTTACACGCGTACACTCACAATAAAATTTAATTATTAGAAATTAAAGCTTTGAATTTGATAATGAAACGTAATTCGTTGTTTCTAACATTATTATTATTAATAAAATCATTTTAAATAAATATTAAATATATTATATTTTCTATGAAATGGACTTATATATACATATATACGCATATAATTATAATAATAATATATATATAGTATTTTCTTTTTTACGAAGAAATTTATTTACACGCGTACACCCACAATAAGATTTAATTATTAGAAATGAAAGAGGTTTGAATTTGATAATGAAACGCAATTCGTTGTTTCTAACATTATTATTATTATTATTAATAAAATCATTTTAATTAAATATTAAACGCGTATTATATTTTCTATGAAATAGAAGAAGAAAACTAAGAAAAGAAAAATAAATAAAATCATAAGCTACGATATGGAATCACTTTTTATCGTTTTCTCGTATTGATTTTGTTTTTTTTTTTGTTACTAGTCGTAGAAGCAGACACGAATGGATTTTATTATCGAAATAAAAGGGACGATAAAGTCGACATAATAATACCATACCATACTTTTGTATTTGTTTTTGTCTGTTATTTTCCTTAGGTGCCAGGAATGTCCTGTGGTGAAACCAACGTTCCTCTGCGGAAGCGACAATCGTACGTACAGCTCGCCGTGTCGTTTGGAATACCACAATTGTATTCACCATACCTCCGTCCACATTACCTGCAAAGGTTTCTGTCCGTGCAAAGGTGAGCACTAACACCAAATGATTCTTTTTTCTTTTTTTTTTTCTCGTCCTCTTGCGTAAGGCCCACCCCTTCCACCCACTCCCACCTTCTTTCGTGTCAACGTCAATATTTCGAAAGAATAATTATTATTACTACTACTATTACATAGTTAACTCGAAAATAATTTCTATGCTTTTTACCTTTCCTTCTCACGTGGTGTTTAACGTTAATTATTATTATATACGAAGAAACGTTAACTGGAAATATTATTTTAATGAACTTGTTTTTTTTTTCCTTTTGTGTACTCACACTCGTTACTTAATTCATTCGAAGCAATTGTATTTATTTTCTTTCTTTCATTTTTTTAAATGAAACTAAACTCGCGATATTCTTAACTTATTATTTTTTTTTTATATAGATGATTTTCTTTTAAATTTAATATCGAATAATAAAAAGGAAAAAATGGAGAAATAAAAAAAGTAATAGACAATGATGTTACGAACGGTGAAAGAAAAAAAAATCAATTTCAAGGAAGTGGAGAATGGGCTGTAGGTTGTGGGGGGAGGAGGAGAGTATGGATTATAAATAAAAATTCGCGTAATAATGTTGTAAAAATGATAAAATATGGATCGAAGGATTCTTAGTTGGCCATAATAAATTCCAAGTTAACGGGGGAGGAATATATCCCGCTACCCTCGCCCCCCCCCCCATTGTATTTACATCTGTTCGCATTTCCCTATGCATCTGACGATATGCTGATTTGCATGAATATTCATAGTAACCCGTTAGAACAATAACCGTCGTGGGGTCACGCCTACAATACGCTTTACGTATATATGTACATACGTACGTACGTATTCTAACTTATGTTTGTATGTTGGTATATGTGTGGTGTGTGTGTGTTTGTGTGTACTTGCGCGTATGTATGCATGTATTATGTATAAATACAGAAACCTGTGTAACAACCGATTAAATCAAGAGAAGGGTTACGATGTCGTAGTTGGTAAGTACACACGCACATACACACATCCATCACGCGTAGAGATACGCGCGCGCGTGGTAACAACGGTATGACAGACGGATAGATAAATGCAAACTATAAATGCAACCCTGAATGAATATATCATGAAAAAAAAAATCATCGAGTCGTAGAAATGAATGTTTAACGCACGATTATAATATTCATGATGAATGGTTGGAAATAGAAAAAGAAGAAAAAAAAAGTGCAGAAAAGAAAATATAACGCGCGTCGGAAAATATTATTTCGCATCTCGTCGACGGGTTTGCAAAATGTAGAAACAAAGAGAGAGAGAGAGAGAGAGAGACGATAAAATCCAAACGATTTGTACATTTTCACCGTGAACTAACACGCTTAACCGCAAATTATTAGATCTATCAAATAAATGAAAATAAAAAAAGAAAAAGAAAAAAAGAGAGAGAAAAAACGAAATTATTCATCCGCATCGTATTATTATTTATACAACACGCGTTTCGTTTTTAATTTTTCGAAACCTTTTGGAAAAATATTTATAATTATATTGAACTTGTATAATAATTAAATATTAACTATATAATTATATTATAAAAATAATATAATTAATTTTTGAACTTGTGCGCGGGGGTGGTTTTAATTTTTTTTTTTAATTTTATTCGAGTATAATAAATGATCGTAGAAAAATTTGTTTGTTTACGGTTTTCTTCGTTTCTTTCTTTCTTTTTTTTTTCTTCTTCTTCTTCTTTATAAATACAATATATGAACAAGTTACGCAGAGTAAAAGAATGAAGAAATTTTCGTTGAAATTTCTAATCGGTGGTATCATCTTTGGTCTACGTCGTAAACAAGAATGATATTTGCATAATGAGCAACGTCATGCGGAGTATAATGCTGGTTGGTTGGTTGCTTGCCTCGGTGCCATCAAGTGGCCATGCAAAATACGTGTAATTGGATTTCATATGAGACTGCGCTTATCTTACGCGAGTATGCGAATATGCGACGAGTATGGAAGTATGCGAGAAAGTAAGCAAGCAAGCAAGCAAGCAAACAGGCAAGCAAGCGAATGAACTAAGGATTTATTGCACAATTTATTATATCCTTTTTCATACTCATATATATATATATTCTCTTATAATATACAGAATGTGTCTTAGACATTTACTGGACTAAAAAAGAAGCAAGTGTCAGGTGTATTCTATGCACGAATATGAAAATAAAATGTCATACGTATAAAGATCGTTGAAAATTTTTCACGAAAAATTGTTTATAATGTTTAATAATAATTAATGTATATTAAACGATATCCATTTGATTTAATAATTAAAAAATCATCTCGTATAATTTGTAATTTAACTTATATTAATATTTCATATTATTATAACGATCAATCTTATCAACATTTTTTAGAAGTTTTTTACACCTATAATATACTGGTATATATGTACTGGTATTCGTACGGATACGTGTACGGATATCGTTATAATATTAGGATTGCAACCATGACATCCTTCCTTGTTACTCTTAAATAATGCAAAAAACGCTTTATTTGAATCTTTGACGATGCTTGACTAAAGCAAATATAATATTCATTGAAACAAACCAGAGAACTTAGTTTACATTCCTTCTTGGTTATATGTGCTCATTATAAATACACAATATTAAATATATATATATATAGTAAGGGGTAAGAGGTACTTCGTGGTATTTGAAAATGATTTATTCTCACGTAAGTTCTCGTTTAATACCCGTTAGAAAAATATTTTATTCTGTTTTCTTTTTTTTTTCTCTCTCTTTCTTACTCACTCGAATTGTCGGTCTTCGAATCTTTTTCGTATTTTTCAAAAAAAAAAATATCCATGATATTATATTTACTCGTACCTCTCTCTTAATCGATTGTATAATATTACTGTAACCGCGCTTACGTAGATTGGGTTGAAAAGATTTCAGTTCAACCTGAAAACAGTGTTTTATTTTTTCTTTCTTTTTCGGTCAATTAAGTTTTTATTTCAAAAAAGAAAAAAATATACAAGTACTTATTTCTTTAATCGAATCTCAGTACTTTTCAATCAAGAGTTCCAATATTATTTATCTTTAGAATTTATTAAATAATAATAATAATAATAATAATAAATTTCCAATCGATAAATTAATCGATTTAAAAGTCACGATTTTCGTCAAACGATTTTAACACTTGAACGAACTTTTTCACGACTAAGTTTTTTGTTTAAAAAAAATTACGAGGAGTGAATGGGGGAGGGGAGGGGAGAGGGTTGAAGGAAGAGAAGAAGGAAGGTAGGATATGATTAAATTTTGTTCAAGCAAAGCTAATTTTCTCTCTCTCTCTCTTTTTCTTTCTTTTTTTTTGTACGTATTTACGTTGCTACGGCATTTGTTTAAAAATCACAGCAGCGTGGAAAGGGTGGGTGGGTGGTAGGTAGATAGGGGTGTGCTGTTACTGTTGGTACATGGCTTTAGGCGTAAACCAATTCTCCCCGAGCGAATGTTAATTTTAAAACGGGAATTTGTTTGTAAAGCGGTTAATGAATTGTCATCGGCCTCGTTTTTCGATGTATTAACAACGATAAATAGAATATTTATCGGACATACACTACAATCGAATCGATAAATATATATGTAGATATATATTTTTTTTATTTTCTTCTTTCGTGCATTTGACGAAATAAAAATATGCACAATTCTCCGCGTGATGTGTGATATTTCATAATATTAATAATAATTAATAATAATTACGTACATATAATATATATATATTCCTGTTTAAGTTCAACGCAAATTTTTTCTATCCCAAAAAAGAAGAAAAAGAAGAAGAGAAAGAAAGAAAGAAGAAAAAAAAAAGAAAAAGGTTCGGTAATTCTCATTTAATTAATAATTCCATTCAAACGTGGGGGTGGGTGGGACGGAGGGTAATTAAAAAATCAACTCGAAGAGTCGGTTGAGGATTGAAAAGGAAAAAAAAGAAAAAAAAAAAATAAGAGTATGACGAATGTCACACGTTGCAAGTTTTCTTTTGAGGATAAGGATAAAAAAAGAATTTGTTAGCTTGCTTCTTTACAGGTAACCATTACCACCACTACCACTACCATCACACCAACATATCTAACTCGTTCTACCTTTTCTACGATCATTTTCTATCTTCTTCTTCTTCTTCTTCTTCTTCTTTTAACGTACAATTTATCAGTATTTATGATTCAGATGCTGGTACGTAGAACGAATCAAGTACTTTCATCGGGTACCAAGAATAAATGAAATTACGCTTCGTCGAGTCGCAATCAGTGTTCCACATTTCCGTTCGTTCGTTCGTTCATCCGTTTCGTTTGGAAGCTCGCTTGCGCATATATTTAGAAAAGTGCATTTATTAACGAGGTTACAACGCGAATTTGTTTCTCATATTCATATTTTTCTATATATACATGTATGTATGCATGGATGTATGTATGCATGTATGTATGTATGTATGTATGTGAAAAAAAAAAGAAAAAAAAGGTTAAATAAAATTTGCGTATGTGTTTTATTATTTTTCTTATTTCTTCTGTTTTTTTCTCGCAGGTACAGATTTGCGTACGCATTCGAAGAAAACTCAAACGCAACGTCAAAAATCGCTCATGGGAAAAATGGGTCGCAATCATGACTTCACCCTTACACCAAGAGATTTCAACTATGACAATCATCACTATCGTTATCTCAAATATACCAAGCGTGCTAAGGTAAGTAAAAAAAAAAAATAAGATTCTTTAAATTATTATACACATTAAAAAAATAAAGGAAACTCTGTCGTTATTTTATTGTTTATGTACGATTATTAAAAAAAAAAAGAAGTTCAGTTTCTATTTTTCTTTTTTCTTTTTCAAGATTTAATTTAAGAAGATAATTATAATAATAATAAGTAAAGAAGATTAATAAAGCTACGTTATTGATCGATGATATATTATATAAAGAGAAAATATAAATTTATGTACATAGTTTTTTATTTCATCGAAGTAAATCGAAATTGTTTCTTCTTATTATTCTTCTTCTTCTTTTTGTTTTTTTGTCCTATCGTGAGAGCACAAAATTTACAATACTACTCTCTCTATATATATATAAGAGAACGTAAGTGATACAGTAGAGGGATGTATGATTTATCGGCAACATTCCAATATCCGATTCCGTCTAGCAGCGAAGGTGGTAGTTTTTGTTGCCAGGAAGTTTCGTGGTTGAGAGGATGGATAAAAGAAAGAAGAAAGAGTAGACGGCTGGCAGGGAGGGAGGGAGGGAGGGAAGGTGGGTGGGTGGAGGAATTTGTTTTACATAGAGAGTCCAAACAATTTGTTTTTCGAGAAATAAAAAAAAAAAAGACAAAAAAAAAGGAAAAAGATCGATTGGATAGAATAGAATAAGAAAAAGAGATTTTATGTATCTCGTTTTGCGAAGGGTGAAAGAACAAAGAAAAATAATATAAGAGGAAGGAAGGAAGGAAGGAGGGAGGGAAGAGGGGGAAGGGGAAGGGTCCGAAAAGAGGTTAGGTATAGTAGTTATACATGAAAGGAATAAAAAAAAAGAAGAAAATAAAAGAGGGTAAAAAAACATATACACCCACATATACATAGTTGATTTCTTCTTTTCCCATAGGGTCGTAGCGTTTAGTATCAAACCGTATTCCGTGTTTCTTCAACGTACAAGAAACACCAGTCGGCTTTTTATCGATCCACGAATATACCAAGCACCACCACCACCACCACCACTACAACTACCACCATTACCATCATCACTATAACCAGGGCTGAGCAGGGTCCTCGTAAATTCACAAGGTCGCGAGCTTGAACAGCTTTTTAACCTTCCTCGAGTCTGCTAAATTGTTGCGTATTATTTTTAGTGTCCCCTCGCATATATACATAAGTATATATGTATCATATATACCACGTATATATGTATATGCATTTCTTTTTCGTGGCCTCGATATCGCGTTCAGTTTAAAACGAACTTTTTAATTTTCCCCTTTTATATACTTGTTTTGTAATGTTTCCTTTTTTTCCCTATTTTCTTTTTTTCTTTTTTTCTTTTTTTTTTTATTGTATATATTTTCCCCTAGGGTATTTGTTTTTTTTTTGTTTTTAAAAACTTGTCACAAAATACCCTTAGTTGTTTTCGCGTGGTATAACATTTAATACGATAAATTATTGCGGCAAACAAGGTTTCGCTTTGAGATAAAAGGTACATTTAAATTTTCTCGTTAATTAATTTTCATTTATTTATTTTTGTTCTTTCTTTTTTTTTTTAATAATAATAAATAGAAAAAAAAATAAAAATATATTTTATATTTTTCCCTACCTACCATTTCGTGAGATTAATTCAAACGCTCGTTGAACTGATTATATATGCAATCGATCGAATAATATAATAATGATTTCGCAAAATAACGAAAACGCGGCGGCGGTTATTATAATCTCTTCGCCGATAAGATTAGATTTGAGAAGATGCATTATGTTAATAATCCTTTTGTTTTTTTTTTTAATGAGAGAAACAACACGAAATGCCTCGTATAAACGCGGTATACGATAAATTTTGTAACAATATCGCATTAGGGTTTCCAATCAAAATCAATAATATAATTATCATCGTACATTACGAGATAACAAGTGTATAATAATATTTGCTAAATATTATTACAAAATTAACGTTTAAGTTGAATCAAAAATATATAATTAAAAAAATTAAAAAAATCACGTCGTTTTACCCACGTATGTAAAGGAGAATCAATTGAAAAAATCAACATTTTTTTTCAATGATAGAAGAAACGAAAAAAAAAAAGAAACATATTAACATTAAAATAACGACAAGTGTGTGTGAGGAAGTCAGTTTTTAATGGCAAGGTTAAAAATAAGTAAAAAATGATGGTAGGAGAAAAGAAAAAACAAAAAAAAAAGGAAAAAGGGAATTGTTAACATCCGATGGCCCTGACGAAGTACTGTCACAGGAAAGAGTTTTTACCCAAAAGAGAGAGAGAGAGAGAGAGAGAGAGAGAGAGAGAGATAGTGATAGAAAATAAGTAAGAGTATCGTCGGAAATACTCGTCGGGAAAACGAAACTACGACGACGAAGACGACGACGTTTGCGCTCGTCTCTACACTTTACTTTCTCCTTTTAATTTGGGCTTTACTAAACGGAAACTTCAACAACGTGCGAGAGAAACAGAAATAGAAATAGAAAGAGAGAGAGAGAGAGAAAAGGATGATAAGGGTGAAGAAGTGGCGGTAAAGGGAAGAATGGGTTTGCTCTGTAAGATGGAGAAAAAGAGAGGGGAGAGGGGACAAGGGGGGGACAAGGGGGGGACAAGGGAAGGGGAAAGTACTGAAGCGAGCTAATCGACGAAGATTGCCAAAAGTAGTGCAAACGTTTCTCTCTCTCTCTCCCTCTCTTTCTCTTTCTTGGAAAACGTCGTCTTCCACAAGCTCGTTTTCTTCCTCTACTACTCGTTTTATTCAACATTTCTGACTATCCTCGTTTGTCTCCTCTAAATCCCAACCTTCCCTTTTACAACTTAATTAAATCAACGTGATCGAGGACGCGAACCTTACCCCCTCACTCCCCCTCGCTCCCTATTTTAAGAAAACAATTCGAGACCCCTCTCTCCCCCCCATTTTCGTCTTCTTTTATTCTCTATTGCTCTATTTTGCTTTTTTTTTTCTCTACAAAATTTCATTTCATTTCATTTTATTCAATGCCGTCGTCAATCCGAGAAAAACCTTCAGTTCGATTTTCTCGAGTTGAGGTTTTTAATCGCGCGATCGAATTTTTGTTCTTTTTTTTTGTTTAATTAATTTCTTGAATCACGCACGGGGGGAGGTAAAAAATATTGGAGAAAATGAATTTAAAATCGATATTTAAAATATGAAACGTGTAAGTAAATAAATAAATAAAGAAAGAATGAATGAAAGGAGGAGGAAATTATTATGAGGAGAAAAAGGATGAAATTTTTGTAAAATATATAAAACTGTTAAACAAACAAAACGAATTATAACGGAATAACGTGAATAACGTTAATCGACTTGGACGGTGGTCAAACTGACTGGCACATTATTTTAATGGCCGATTCTCGCTTGTAACCGAGCGAGTCCACGCGGAAACCAGGACTAATTTATTTCGATTCGTTTCTGCAAGCCGCGCAATTATCGCAATACACGCGTTCGAAATGCAACCTCTGTCCATCTCCCTTCCTCTCTCATCATATGCACATGCATGCTTGCATATATATGTGTGTATATATATATATATATATATATAACGCCCTTGTGAATCTACGATCTTGTTAATTAAATTGACAAATCCAGTATCTCCGCGAGAAACCCTCTCATACCACTAACATTAAAGAGTGAAAGAGAATGAGTGAGTGAATGAGTGAGTGAGTGAGTGAACGTTTCCCCACCATTACTATTCTATACCCACCCCTATTCCCATTTCCCCTTTCCTTTTGCATCTCTCACATATATATGTAAACGTTAACCGATTCGTGGTGCGTACCTTGAACACGTGCATGCGTATAATCTATGTGCACTTGTACTGTATGTATCATCTGTGTGTGTATGCGTGAATATGCGTTTAAGTACCTCTCGATTATTCTCTCGTTCTACTATCGAACGAACTAATTGTCAATAGAGAAATTCCAATACAACCTTTCTATAATCAATCTTTGATCAATCTCGTATCGAGATAGTTAAAATAATAATAATAAGAATAATAATAATAATCGTTGCATTTATATATTATTATTTATTTATACTATTCCGTCTCTTTCGAGTTTGAAAGGCTTCCGATACAATTTTCCTTTTTAGAAAAATTCAATAAACAATTATTATATATTCTATCTCAATAGATTTAAACTTTAAAAACAAAATTGAAATTAAAACTAATTTTTTTTTTCTTTTCTTTTTTTTTTTGAACTAACTAACAACATAACAATTGAGCATTTATATATATATATATATACATTATCTAATCTTTTACACCATGTTCTTTCTCGTCAAGTATGGTAATTAGATATCGATTCGATTCAACCTAATTACTTTAGACATACACGTCTATTTCTTTCGAGATAGTCCGATTCGAGAGATTAGTATATGAATTATGTGTATATAAGTGATAATAATAAATGATGATTATGATGGGTGATGATTGGTTAGTAATAATAATGGTGGTATTAACGATTTAATAATCTAATATAATGGGGGGGAAGAAAAAAAAAAAAAAATAGTTTGCAGAATTATTTCGATTTCTTTCCACGCGCGCTAGATTCTCATTCACTTCGGGGTTGAATTCGAATCCGTTCGGGGTCATTATATATTTATGCTCGACCTATGAGTTAGAATAGAACTTAGAGCTATATTATTCAACATGATTCTGGAACATCGATTGACGTTATTGTGCAAGAATAATAATGATTCCTTTCATCCTCTTTTTCCAATCTTTGTCTTTTTTTTTGTTTTCTCTATCGAGGTGAACAAAATTTATTGGGTTGGACGATAACATAGGGAATCTGCGTATTTTTTTATTTATTTATTTATTTACATTATATTATAATATCAAATTTATATGCTTGCTTGATTTTACGCAAGTAAGAGAAAAAAGTGTGAAAAATATAATCGATGAGATAAAAAGTACTTTTCAAGATTCTTTTCATCAATTTTTTTCCCCCTTCGAATATTTTTTCTACCACTTTTATTCTTCTTCTTTTTTTTTCTTCTTCTTCTTTCTTTCGAAGAATAAGAATCGACTGGTACTTTTGGTCACCGCTGACGGATAAGTAATTTAAGTTTTCTAACGGCGTCTCCATTCGGTTATCTCATTTCCATGAAATTGGGTTGGATGCTTCTGAGCTCGTGAAAGGATCAGTAGAGAGAAGAGAAGAGAAGAGAAGAAAAATAAAAAAATAAAAAGAAGAAGAAGAGTATGAGTAAGAAAGAGAGAGAGAGAAAGAGAGAGAAAGAGAGGTTTAGAACAGACGTATTCTGAATCGAGCTTCTCGGATCAGTTCAGAATGAATCCAAGGAAGTTCGTTAAATTATTCCTCCACTCTGTGGTAATTAATAGTTATTCAGTTTCGTATTCGCCTTGTGACGTAGAATCTCATGAAATGTACAAAGGAACACGTGAATTAACTTTTCCATTCTTCTCCATAGATATATATATATATTTCTTCTTCTCATTTATTATTATACTCCTAAGTTCTAATGTCGTCCTTCGTATTTAATATATATATAAGTATAACCAATTTTAATTGGTTCTGTCATTTAAAAAATATCATCAAATATGATATGTAAGATAAGAACACTGACACATGATTAATTCATTTCATCAAATATTATTAACTTAATAAATATATAATATAATAATAATAATAATAATAATATCTCGAACTAAAAATTCAATTCTACGAACCATGTTCCAACCATTTCGTAATAGAAATAAATAAATCTATTATGAGATGATATATAAATTATAAAGAAATTCTTCTTTTTATGTCACACATATCTTTTACATGCACTCGTGAGATATTCAAATAAGGGAAATTGTCATGGGACGTATAAAAATACAAAAAAGTAAGAGAGAGAGAGAGAGAGAATATATATAAGATTAGCTTTTTCCTCATATTTTTCCTATTTTCGACGAATTTTAATAGAATATTCGAAAGGTTCTTCCTACCATATCGACAACTTTATTGGATATAATCCACCATTCTAAAAATCCCTACGACAGCAGCCAATGTTAGGTACTTGTGCTTCCTGGTGGTGGTGCACTGAATGTGTTAGTGGTAGTAGTAAAAGATTCTACGAAAATCGTTAAAAATATGAAGGAGACTTAGATTCTTTATTACCAGATATTTTATTGCGTCAACACATCTCTTTCGATCTTTTGATCGGATTATTCTTTTATTCTACTCTCTCTCTTTCTCTCTCTCTCTCTTTCTAATATTTTATATCTTTGGTAATAAAGAACCGTTCCCCATTGTATTTTAGATCATAAAACTTGAATATTGTCATTTGATTTTTATGATTATTCCTGGCTAGATTGAATTCAGTATTATTATTATTATTATTATTAATTATTAATTATTTAACGATAATTTTATATTTGAAAAAATTTTATTATAACGTTTTCATGCGAATGACGGTAATTCGAGAGGACCGGTGTTGAATTTAAATATATTTCACGAAATTGAGAAATTCGTCGAGTCATTTTGAAAACTTGTATGTACACATAGAGATCTACGAAGAATGGCATTCTAGAAAGCATTTGCTCGTTACAACGATGACCATTAAAGCTGTGGCAAGCGTTGCAGCTTTTATGCAATATATATATATATATGAATACATATATACATGTATATATGTATATATATGGCTGTCGCGTTTCGCTCCTGCAACTCCTTACAATAGTCATTTAATTTCAATGGTCTGACTGAATTTAGAACTGAATATAAGTGTAATAATCCGAACTTATAACATCGAATGTGTACAGAAAATGATATTTAATCGTGAAAGAAAAAGGAACAAAATTAGGTTATATGTTTCCATAATAAATATAATTAACGATATAATTAAAAGAAAATGAAAATAAAATGATAGTAACAGTAGTATTTAGTAGTGTAGTAGTAGTAGTAGTAGTAGTAGTAGTAATGGTGAAAGTAGTATAAACTTAAAACAGAACGAACCCGTACGAGTATTGCCATCTAGCGGTACGAAGTAAAAATTATTATTTAAATTTAAAATTTTTGTGTTACTATTAAAACACACGTTCAATGGTAATATACCTATTCGTCCCATTTTTTTCATTATTCATTGTATTCCTTTGTTTGTTGTTTTTATTCCTTGTTTTATTATTTTACCAAGTTATCCTTTGTTTTTTTTTTTTATTCTTTTTCAATTTAACACCAGGGTAACGACGTGCATGTAATTCGCAAAAATATTTTCTTTTCTTTTTTTTTGTTTTTTTTTTCTTTCTGTAATCCTTCCTACGCTCGGCGGTGGTAACGTCATAAAATTCTAGAATATAACGCCGTTGCACCGTAGTTATTTCTCTATCTCTTTTCACTCGGGGAGAAAAGGTGGTTTGAACGTTTTATATTCGTTATAATTTTCATGCTTTTTAATAATTTAACATTCAACGGACCTCTTTTGTTGTCCAAAGCGACACGCAACTCCTTTCCCTCTTTTCATCGTTTCCTCAATTTTTTTAAATTTGTATTATTATTCTTGTACCAGAACAACAAACACAACAACAACAACATATAATAATATTAATGACCAAAAAAAGAAAAAGAAAAAATGAGAGAACGAAATAACTGGAAACTCATAGTCGAAGGGATTAATTTTCTCATTTCACAGGAAGGAATCGCGTTTAATCATCGAAACTTTAGATCCCGTAGGAAGGGGATCCTAGGATTTCCTAGGATTAGTTTAACATTATATAGGATATAAACCTTGCAATATCAGTTGTCGCACGTGGTACAATTTAAGTAAGGTTTATTTTAGCTTCAGATAGTTTGCCGAGCTCTACTATCCTTGTCATGTTATGAATCACACATTGTTCTTCTCTCTCTTTCTCTTTATCTTTCTATCTTTCTATCTTTATCCTTTTCTTCCCTCCCTCCCTCCCTCCCTCGTTACCTTTTTATTTCCCTTTTACTTTCTCATCTTTCCAATTTTCTCCTTTTGCACTAACATTATTACGAGTCTCTTAGCCTTTGCTATATTTTATCTTGTTAGGAACGTTATGATGCTTTTATTCCTTTTATTTCTCAAACATACACACGCTCACACACACACATCTATATTTCTTCCCTATCTCTCTCTCTCTCTCTCTCTCTCATACTCCTTCACACATACTTATACATCCAATTATTCTCTCTCTAATGCGCATACTCGTATACACAATATACATGTATTCTCTCTCTCTCGTTCTTTTACTAATACATCTAATTATTTTCTACCCGACACTAACACACATATTCATACGACCTCTCTCTCCTCACACAAACACACAGTTATATATCTACATTTGTACACACATTTATACGTTCTCTCTTTCTTTATGTATTTGTATGTGCAGTCGGTTTCTCTGTCTCTGTCTCATTCTCTTTGACCGTCGTATCCCTGTCTTTCTCTGATTCGCTCTCTTGGGTTGGATCGATGGAAAGACGGAGGGGGGTGGGTGGGGGAAATGAGAAGGGGTCTCTCTGCTGGCTAGTCAGGGGGAACCTTTCGAAAATACGTATGCCATCCTTGTGGCTGTTATAGTTCGATCAATCGGACGTCGAGAGGAGAATTCCACACTCGAAAGACACTCATCCTGCTCGTTATGCGAAAACGTATTTGCATTTTATTTGCATACCGAGCGAGAGACAATATGAAAGCAGGGGGAGGAGGAGGAGAGGGGAGGGTAGGGGACCGAGAATGAGACGAGAAGTTCGAACGCGCTTCGAAAACGAAAAGGCGATTCTCTGTTTGCTTTTCCTCGATCTGTCGTCTTCTTCTTCTTCTTCTTCATCTTCTTTCTTCGTGAATTTCATTATAGGGAAATGCTTGTTTGCTTTTTTCTCCATCCCCCTAGCCCCCCTCTCATAGATTTGCACGAGAAGAGAAAAGAAACACTTTAAAATCGCGAATCTCGTAATAAACGATCTCTCCGTCTTGTTTTTAATCACGTTTATCTTTTTGAAGTTATACTTCTTTTGACGCGCGTTTTGGAAAGTGAAGTTAGATGCGACCGAAATATCGACACCACGAAGTTGTCGATATTTACGCGATGCGCGCGCAAATTGAAGTTATTTTTAAGATTATATTCGTTTTGGTATACGCTAAAGAAGTATAATTTCTTACGTGCATACATAAGTGCATACACCCATGTTTTTTTTTCGTTTTCTTTCGATCATTTATCGGATCGGCCAGAAAATTAATGCCGATTTATATATATATACCGATATATATATTATTATATATATATATAT